CACCCCAAAGCCACGGATGATCTCCCCCAGCGGCTTCACATAAATATTGAACAGTAAGGGGGAGAGGACCGACCCTTGTGGCACCCCACAAGTTAGGGGCCTTGGGGCCGACCTCTGCCCCCCTGCCAATACAGACTGCGTGCGGTCGGTGAGGAAGGAGGAGAACCACCGCATCACGGTGCCCCCCACTCCCAACTCCTTCTCTTCATTAAACTACACATACCCAATTCCAGCAACTGTTCCTTATATGTTTTAACTTCCAGTCCCCTGATCATCTTTGTTGCTCTTCTCTGTACCCTTTCTAGAGTCTCAACATCTTTTTTATATTGTGGTGACCAAAACTGGATGCAGTATTCCAAGTGTGGCCTTACCAAGGCATTGTAAAGTGGTATTAATACTTCACGTGATCTTGATTCTATCCCTCTGTTAATGCAGCCCAGCACTGCGTTGGCTTTTTTGGCAGCTGCAGCACACGGCTGGCTCATATCCAAGTGATTGTCAACTAGGACAAGTAACATCATCAGATGATGTTATCTGGGTAGTAAAACATCTGCAAGAAAACTACCAAACTCAAAGAGCACCAAGGACTCCAGTGTCGTCGTCTCCTCCTCCTCCTCCTCCTCCTCCTCCTCCTCCTCCTCCTCCTCCTCTTCCCTCTATGAACCCCAATCCCTTCCTAGCACTGATGATGTTACTTTCTGACTCCAGTGATACCAGTTTTGTGATGACGTGCTGACTCCTGCAAGGTCACTTCCTCTCTCCCCAGAGACCCATAGATAGAAGGAGCCTTCTACTGAGGCATATTGAGATTCTTCCCCATTGATTCTCTCAGGGTGGGACTTACCTTGAATCTTGTTCAGTAGGGTGCGAAGGCGTGCTTTGTATGATGAACAGAAGCCCACAATGACTGGGGTAGAGGTGTTGCACAATATCTTCACTAAAGAGCTGCAATAAATGTCTTCACCGCTCTGGTGGTCTGAGGATTGGAAAAGAAAAAAAAAGGAATGGAAAATAACCAGAGGATCCACACATCAGTGTCCCTAGGTGGCTGTTGGCATAGCCCTGAAACAAGTGACTAGGTTCCTGCCCTTACGACCGTCATAGCATCCCCATGATGATGAGATCCAAATTCAGGCACTTGTCAACAGGCGTGTACTTAGGACAGTTGAAGCATCCTGGGGTCTCGTTATCGCCATTTGCGACCTTCCTATCTGACTTCTGACTAACACGGTCAAGGGGGGAGAGCTTGATTTGTTTAACGACCACATGATTCACTTCATAACTGCAATGATTCACTTATGAACCACAGCAAAAAAATCGAGTGCCTTTCACTTAACAAGTGTCTTGCTTGGCAACGGAATTCCTGCCCCAGTTGTGGTTATAAGCTGAGGCTCACCTGGAATCTCTACTTGCCTAAAGTAGTGTTTCTTCACCTCAGCAAATTTATGAAGCGTGGACTTCAACTCCCAGAATCCCAGCATTCTTTAAAATGGATAGACTTCCGTTCCCAGCATGGGTGGCTGGGGAATTCTGGGAGCCGAAGTCCAGACATCTTAAACTTGCTAAGGTTGGAACAAATTTTCAAAAGCGCCTGAAGGCAGGACAAGAAGCAACGCGTGGAAACTAATCAAGGAGAGAAGCAACCTGGAACTCAGGAGAAACTTCCTGACAGTGAGAACAATTAACCAGTGGAACAACCTGCCTCCAGAGACGGTGAATGCTCCAATACTGGAGCTTTTTAAGAAGAGACTGGACAGCCATTTGTCTGAAATAGTATAGGGTTTCCTGCCTGAGCAGGGGGTTGGACTAGATGACCTCCGAGGTCCCTTCCAACTTTACTATTATTATTATTATTATTATTATTATTATTATTATTATTATTATTATTATTATTATTATTATTATTAAATGAGTCCCATCTGCTTTTATGACCTTTTTTGCCTGTTTGTTACACCAGTCGGTTGTTAGATGAATCACATGGTCGTTAAGTGAATCCAGCTTCCCCCCCTCCTCCCCATTGACTTTCCCTATCAGAAGTCAGCTGGTCGTAAATGGTGATCACGTGACCCCAGAATATTGCAGCCATCGGAAATATATGCTGGTTGCCAAGAGCCCAAATTTTGATGAGGTCACTGTGCAAATGCTGTATTAGTGATAAGTGTGAGGGAACAATAACAACAACAACCATAAGAATAACAACAATACCAATAACAATAACTGGAGACGATAATAAAATACAAAGACCTACAAATAGCAATAGAACGACTGTGGCAAAGGCAAGCAAGCGGAGTACCAATAGTCATAGGCGCCTTGGGTGCAATCCCAAAACAACTGGAGCACCACTTCGGCATTGGCAAATTCCCTATCAGTCAATTGCAAAAGGCAGCCTTAGTGGGAACAGCTTCCATCCTGTGACGAGATCTGTAATACCATCAATTCAAACATCCACATCTACCAATCCCAGGTCCTTGGTAAGGACTCCATAGGTAGACAAAAATGCCAAATCCAGTCTGAACATCTGGCTGACTGTGCGATGATCAATAATAATAATAATAATAATAGTAATAATAGTAATAATAGTAATAATAGTAATAATAGTAATAATAGTAATAATGATGATGATGATGGAAGAGGACCTTGGAGGTCTTCTAGTCCAACCCCCTGCTCAGGCAGGAAACCCTATACAGACAAATGGTTGTCCAATCTCTTCTTTAAAAACCTCCAATGATGGAGTATCTATGACTTCTGAAGGCAAATCCTTCCACTAGTTAATTGTTCTAATTTTCAGGAAATTTCTCCTTAGTTTCAGGTTGCTTCTCTCCTTTTTTTGTGTCCATCTGTTGCTTCTTGTCCTGCCTTCAGGCGCTTTGGAGAATAGCTTGAACCACCCCCCCCTTTCTTTCTGGCAACCCCTGAGATATTGGAACCCTGCTATCGTGTCACTCCTGGTCCTTCTCTTCATTAGACTAGACCAGGGGTAGGCAACCTCGGCTCTTTTTTATGACTCATGGACTTCAACTCCCAGAATTCCTGAGCCAGCATAGCTGACTCAGGAATTCTGGGAGTTGAAGTCCATGAGTCATAAAAGAGCCGAGGTTGCCTACCCCTGGACTAGACATACCCAGTTCCTGCAACTGTTCTTCATATGTTTTTGCTTCCAGTCCCCTAATCATCTTTGCTGCTCTTCTCTGCCCTCTTTCTAGAGTTTCAGCATCTTCATAAATCACTTTTTAAAGTGCCGTTGTAACTTCAAACGGTTGCTAAACAAATGGTTGTAAGTCAAGGAATATCTGTAGATTTTTGAAAGAAGTGGGCTTAAATCCTTGCTGCCTTCCATTTGCCCAAATCCAGCAGTTGTGAATTAGATGCCGAGCTTACCTTCATCGTTGCATTCATTGTGGCTAAAGGGGGAATCCTTGTTTGAGGATAGGCTCTCCATTTCGTGGCACTTCTCGGCATGGGGCAGCCGGGCTGCTTCCTCGTCGTAGTTACTCATCAGCTCTGGAGTTGCTGGACCATCAACTGGACTTCCCAGGCAGATTGGAGCCTGCCAGAAGGTGATAAAGCAGACAGGTGATTCAACCTGGTTACCTGAGACAGGTAAGCTTCTAATGAGAATAGATGAACAGAATATAGATATCAAGCCACATCTGGAATATATGCATCGCAGCAGGGTTTTTCATTGAATGAAAAAGAGAGAGAGAGAGAGAGAGAGAGAGAGAGAGAGAGAGAGAGAGGGAGGGAGGGAGGGAGGGAAGGAAGGAAGGAGGGAGAGAGAAAGAGAAAGAAAGAAAGAAAGGAAAGAAAGAAAGGAAAGAAAAAAAGGAAAGAAAGAAAGAAAGAAAGAAAGAAAGAAAGAAAGAAAGAAAGAAAGAAAGACTGAGGAGAGGTATAATTTTGATTCTGGAAGCTCCAGATTCTACTGACCTTCACAGCTGGCCTCAAATTCTCTTTAAGTTGGAGAAAAAAGACCAACAATATAAAAGCCCAAAGGTTGACGAATGAGAACCTCATTTGTTTCTGATAGGTTGCTAATTGGGATGAGAAAACATTTCAGCCACCGTATTGAGAAAGAGGATCAGATGCAGGGCGTGTGGCCTGGACATCCAGCCATGGGCTGTGGGCTTAATTCTGATGATGTTCTAACGAAATACCAAATTTCCTCCCCCCCCCCTTTTCTGTTCTTACGTGGCATTCTCTTCCAGTGAGAGAAAAAGTTTGCTTACACCAGGAGTCCTTGAATTACAACCAAAATGGGGATCAGAATTTCCGTGGCCAAACAAAGAGGTTGTTAACTCAGGTGTGCTCAGTTTTATGACCTTTTCACCAGGGTTGTTAAGCGAATCAAAAGGGAGCCTCAGGAAATCAAATGGTCATTAGTTGAATCTGGCATCGCCCCCATCGACTTGGCTTGTCTGAAGCTGGCTGGGAAGTTTGCAAAGGGTGATCGCTTGACCCCCGGGACACTGCAACGGTCATAAACAGGTGCTGGTTGGCAAGCACCCAAATTTTGATTACGAGACGGATGCTGCCACAGTTGTAAGAGTAAGGACTGGTTGCAAGTCCCTTTTTCAGGGTTGCTATAAGTTCAAACGGACGTTAACCGGACAGTTATAAGCCAAGGACTACCTGTAGCACAATATTCTAACATGTAACCGAATTGCATTGATTGTTTTAATGCAATCATTCCTCCCCATCTAGGAAATAGCTTGATCAGTTTCTAAGATAAGTATTTAAAATAAAGATTAAGGCTACGGTGGTCCAGAGATGACAGGAATTAAAATTCAGTCATCTCTGAGATGTCATTATTACCAGAATAAAATCTGTACGAAAGAATTTATGTATTTATTTTCATCCCAATCACAACTTACGACTGCTAATGACAGATCTGAACTATGCTGAAAGCTTGCTTATTTGTTAAATAAGAACTATTATTTATTGAAACTCTTATTAAGGTCAGAGGCGCCGTGCCAATAACAGTTAATTATTTCTAAGTTATTTCTAATTATTTCTCATTATTATTATTATTATTATTTTCTTCCACAAATAACCTCTTTTTAACATGAAGATGGTTATGAATGGGTTGGACGCTGGTGTTGAACAGTCACATCCCTGGGATGCTTCATTTAACTCTCAGTCATATATTCACTGATGTTTATATCCATCTTTGTGAAAATATAATTATTCCTTCCCTGTGTCTGTCTGTCCAAATTGTTATTTTTCAGTGTATGAAAAGAACACGACAGAAGTAAAATATACACACAATCCACGTAATGATATACACAATTTCTACGGGGGTTTTGGATGTCCAGTTCAGCTATCCAGGCGATGGCCTCTGGCATCACTTCGTGCAGATCTTCTAGGGTCCCAGAGAATGCACATCATGGTGCAAACTCACACAACATATTTAATAATTTGTATAGCAGCACCACAACCGCAACAAAGGGAATCTGTCCATCCCCTCCGATGCAGGAGAGAGGCCCGTCTTCCAGAATACACCCCTAATTCTGTTCGGTTTCGACCAGACAGAGCGAGGCCGGTCAAAACCAGATGGTTTGTTAGAGGGATTACTAATGGTCAGGCCACAATCAGGTACCTTAATCCAGATGTGAATACCTGACCAAAAGTGATCAATCTATGAAGGTTTATGCATAAAAAAAGATCCACCATATTTCAGGCGGCTGAAAGTAAGGCCAATTTTGGAGGCTGTAAATCTGTCTGGTTTTTTTTAAAAAATATATATTTTATTAATTTTCTAGTTTTACAATCATAAGTACTTAATAAGCAACGTGTTGTCTGGGTCCATTAGTAATTCAGTGGTACATACTAACTTCTTCAGTCTAGGCCCAATATTACACCATCCAATGCTTCCTCTCTTCTTCCAGTTGTACACATTTTCCCACACTAGGGAAATACAATTCTTATTCTTCTTAATACATATTGTGAGTTCACAAGAAATGTACATGTTGTAATTTTCCATTTCTGCGAAAGGAATCGGCATACAGAGGCACGTAGCTAAGGTATTTTTAGGAAAAGAGATGTGGTAAGCTGGAGGAATAGAGAGAAACTACACACACTGACTTAAAGCATACTTTAAGAATAGTGCACACTATTGTAGAATAGCATATAGCTTATGAATAACATATTATCCAGGTTTATTCTTTATAAAAACTGCCTAGAGTTAGTATTTTAATGTATAACTATGAACCAAAGTGCAGCCATGTTTAAGTGAAGCATAAACTCTGTTACACACATAACTTTTAGATGAAAAGCAGGCACTCTTATAGATAAACAAGGGAAGACATAAATCTTTTATAATTGAAATTATCCAGTTTGGGTAACAGTTCACCATGTAGATAAGGCTATACCCTTAGTTAGCAGGGTGTTACAAATCATGCCACAGAAAAGAGAGTCAAGATAAGACAGGAACAAAAGGGTGCTTTTTGATCTAATAATTGGAGGATTTGGTAATTGTAATGATTGCTAGGCGGTCGGAAAGCATGTGACCGGGTGGGCCTATCAACTGGGCTCACTTTGGAAGGATGTGGCATGATGCACAGGACAGGGTATAAAAACCTATGCAAAAATTGATTCAGGTGTGGACTCTTGAGATTTGCCATTACCAAGAGTTCCACCAGCTTTTGCAAAAGCTTTAATAAAACTTGTTTTGTTTTCCAACACCCTTGGAGTTGAATTTTTATTCCTCACAATATACAGTTGAATATCATTTGCATATACTGTTTTCTTGAGCACAGTAGTGGGCCTTATTCATGACGACAATGAGGGTGCTTACCGCAAGGAGGTGGAGGGTTTGGTGAACTGGTATAAGGAAAACAGCCTAGTTTTAAATACTGGAAAAACTAAAGAGATCATTGTCGATTTCCGAAAAGGCAGGAATAACCACACTTCTCTGTGCATTAATGATTCACCTGTGGAGATGGTTACCAGCATCAAATTCCTGGGTGTGCAGTTAACAAGTAGGCTGGCTTGGTCGCTCAACAGCGAGACACTGGTGAAGCGGGCACAGCGGCGCCTGCATTTTCTGCGTCGCATGAGAAAAGCACATCTTCCTTCCCCTGTCCTTACCACTTTCTACAGAGGGACAATTGAGAGCATCCTGTCATATAGCATCACAGTCTGGTTTAGAAGCATCGCTGCTTCGGACAGGAAGGTGGTTCAGAGAGTGGTGAGGATGGGTGAAAAGATTATTGGCAGTTCCCTCCCTTCCACCCAGGAAATGGCACATAAGCGTTGCTTGAGCAGGGTCCACAAGATTGTCTGGGACACTACACATCCTCTTCACGACCTGTTTTCCTTGTTACCTTCTGGGAGGAGGGGGCTTCATGGTATCCGAAGCAGAACATCCAGATTCAGCCACAGCTTTGTTCCATACAGTATCAACCTTGTAAACTCTAAAGTTTCCTCCTTCCGTTACGTATTCAAGATGGACAGTGATTAATATTTATATGTTACTTATATGTAAGGGTGTAGGTCTATACATATGTTGCATATAGTATGTTTTCGATGTGTGTTATGTGTGTGTACACTTTGAGAGGAAGCAGCTAAATCTCATTTTTACCGTGTGCCATTGATCCCACAGGAAAAAAAATGACAATAAAAGTTATCTAATCTAATCAACATCTTTGTTACATTTTCCTAATAATATCAATAATGTCGGTTTAAAACCCTAACCCTCCCCTTAATATGACACCCCTCGCCCTCCCAGCAAAACCAGCATACCAAGGCTGGTGCACGCTCACACGTGCTCTCTCTTCTCCTCAATGGTCCCTTAGTTGGAAGCTAGGAAGAGAAGAGATCTCCAGAGGTGGTGAGAAGCTGTAGACCTTCAGGTGGATGTGGTGTCACAGGTCATCCCCCCGAATGGAGCTCTCTATCCATGCATGGAGCCACAAGGACTGACTGGTGCTCAGCCAGGATGAGCAGGCATCTTGACATGGTGGATGTGGGTTGGCAGAAGGGGATCCAGCGGGCCAAAATCTAGGTGGTTGGACATCCCGGTCACAGGAGTGTTCTGGAGACTGTGTTAAAATGTACCGGTAGAAGAGAATATTTGAAGCTTAGGGTTGAACTGTGGGGTCCTTGATGCTCTCTGAATTTGGTTCTCTTCTTGCAGACGTTTCATTAACCAAACTATGTAACCTAATCAGTCTAGATGTTACCTAATTTGGGTAATGAAACAGCTACAAGAAAACAACCGAGTTTAGAGAGCACCACGGACCACTCGTGTTCAATGTCCTCTTAAATCTTGGAGGCCATGTGAAATGTCCTCGAAGATTTGTGAGAAACCCTTTCATTGAGAGGCTTCAGGAATACAAAGACCTGGTTTGTGGATCAAGCTATAAACCTGATTCACACAGTGCAAAGCTATAGTTTGTTCAGCTGTGGTTGACGATAACAAACCATAATGGTTGGTTCACCCATCAAAAAAACTACACCAACTACTTTATCACGTAGTCCGATGTGATGAGCCAAACTACATCCTGATAGCCTAACGCTCAGCACTGGCACAAGAGGAAAAGTTCTTTGGTGCACCACTGGGTGGTGTGCTTTCCTTTCTATACAAGCAAAGATTTAGAGTGGCACCTCAGTACTCATTGTTAATTGGTTTTGGGGAGTGCGATAATTACCAAAAATGATAAATACCAAACAAATTTCCCCAAAAGGAATAATATAGTGAGTCACACAAGGCAGTCGACACCGACAAGTTCTAGCTTGTGCGTTGAGGACAAAACAAACAATGAGTATCGGGACAGAATTTTTGCATCAAAATGTGTTGAGTACCAAATTCAATGACACTGCAACCGTCATAGGTACATGCCAGTTTCCAAGCATCTGAATTTGGATCACAATACCATGGGAACGCTGCAATGGTTGCAAGTGTGAAAACTTGTGTGAAGTTGTAATTTCAAACGGTCACTAAATGAGTGGTTGTAAACTGAGGGGTTACAACTTACACCAACTTCTACAATCCGAAGTCTTCCACATCGATAAAAAGTAGTCATAATATTTCTTAATTACATACATACACAGGATCGCCTCCCAATTTAAAAACTGGGGATTCTCCATAAAACCACACCTTCTGTAAATTATGTAAATTATTATTTATTTTGTAGCTGATTGATAGTCCGGGTTCTCTCGACGCTCAAGACGAAGGAGGGAGGTGTCTCCCCATTTTCCCCCACAACAACCACCTTTTGAGGTAGGTATACATTAAGTTAAGGCTTTCCCCAGTCCCGGAACTCAACATCTGATCAGTTGTGAATTGATATCATTGTTCAGCAGGTTTGGTATTTTTGCAAAATTGTGATGCATATTTTTTTTTCACCCATAAAATATCAAAAATATAATCAAAATACATTTTGTAACCTTTGGACTATCCTGTCGGCTCAGAAAT